CCTCCTCCTCCTCCTCCTCCTCCTCCTCCTCCCCCTCCTCCTCCCGCTCCGTGGCTAGGTCTTCCGTCGCCGTTGCTGCCGACCTCACCTCGCTGTCGCAGCTGGTAGCGCTGGGCGCCGGAGATGCCCGACCGTCGGAACCTCCCACGAAGCCGCCGCCGCCGCCGCCGCCGCGGTCGCCGTGTACGTCGATCAAGTCCACGTGCGTGCAACCCTGCGCGTTGAGCAGCATCTGCGGGATCGCCCCACCTTGAAAGAGCGTGCGCGCGCACCTCGGGTCGAGGGCCAGGTCCGCCAGGAGGGACAGGCAACGCGCCTTCTCCAGGGGACCCGTGAAATTGTCGGTGGCCTTCGGAAAGACGGTAGGGGGGGGTGGGGGGGGATGTCAAAAAGCACGGAGGCTGTTTTTTCGGCGAGCACGAGCAAGAGCTACAGCACAGCCCAGGGAAAAAAAGAATCTCCAACGCGTAGAAACAACAGTCCTTGTTGCCAACGGCACTCACACGTACACATTCAGGGGGAAAATCCAGCGGACCGCGAACGGCTACTTTGAACAACCAACAGGTCCAGCCACCCAACCCATGTCCCCCATTCCCCCCGTCCTTCCACCTTCTGCGGGCCCCCATCTCACCAGTGCCTGAAGCGCCTCAACGCAAACGCCTGACAGCGCCTCGCTCTCCTGGGCATCAAACCCTTCCTCGCCGCCGCCGTTCCACCCGACCAAGCCCTCGGCAGCTTCCTCGCCGCTGCTCCTACGGCGACGACGCTGCCGCCACGAGGCGCCGCCGCCGCCGCTCCCGTTCCCCGCCCCGCCAGTTACCGCTCCGACCACGGCCACGAGCACGGCGGCGGCGTCGTCCCGCAGCTGTCTCCTCCACCGGACCTCCTGAGCGGCCCCCTTCCTCCTCCCGCCGCCGGCACTCCCCTTTCGCGACCCGGCTCTCTCGCCGCCGCCGCCGCCGCCGCCGCCGTTGTCAATGACGGACAACGTGCCACCGGGAACGGCCGCTTGGTCTTGTTCCCCGAAGAGCCCGAAGGAGGACAGCGACCGTAAGGCCTCAGAACGACCGCCGCAGGCGTGGAGGCTCTCCAGGAGAGCCCGGCAGGGTCGGATACTCGCCGCCGCCGCCTGGCCGCCGCCTTCCGGGCGGTGGGTGGGGGCGGCGGTGGGGAAGACGAGCTTTCGGAGGATCGATGCGCCCGCCGCGCGAATTTCGACGTATGTCGAGTGCTGCGAAGGGGTGGCGGTACCCGAGCATGTCCGGTCGACAAAAAAACGAGGGAAAAGGGTAGTAGCCGACGGGTGACCATGCCATGTGAACACGACCACGAAGCTTCAAGGGAAAAAAAAAAAATCCGAGGCACCTCGATACGAAAATGACGAATAAATTCCACGAGAAAAAAATCGAGGTTGGCGCATCTGTACGAACGTGTAAATGAGGTGTATCCAGAGCCGCTGCACCGACGGCGGAACACCCTAACCGACCGACCAAAGTCTCACGGAAAAACGCTGCTCGCGATGTATGTACAATGCGAAACACCCGCCTTGCCTGATTGCATCCGACCTGGGTACCGACGCCCTGCGCCCGACAACTTCGTGCAGGTCAACAACCAAAAATGCCTTCCCCCACCAAGAAAATACCATCCAAATTTCAACCCGGCGCACCACCCTCGACAAACCGACAAATATATATATATATATATATATTTGCGAAAACGACGTGCACACCCTCGCGGGGGGTTCTCACCAGCATCGCAACGATCGCCCCGATTCCGCCCGCCCCAGCGCCCGCTGCGTCGCCGACAACGCCTCGTCGTAGGACCGCGGCCTGCGCCGCCTCTCCGACGCCTCCCCTGGCGGCGAACATCGCGCGGAGACACCTCGCGCCCTCGAGAGTAGTCCCGGCCAAGGGTAGCACCAGCGGGAACACCTCCGCAACGGCTTCGACGTCGAGCTTACCGCTGCCAGCGGTGACATTGCCTCCGGGGCCCGCCTCCGCAGAGTCGCCGCCGTCGCCGGTTGGATTTCCTGTGTCTCGTGCTGCCGCCGGGGCGGAGGAAGAAGAAGGCGATAGCTCGCTGCACGCGTGGCGCAGGGCGTCGCACGCGCGAGCGCGCGCGGCCTTCACCGCGGAGTCGCGCGCGGACGGGCCGATGCCGCCCTGCCACGGGAAGTCGGCAGGACCCTGCGAAAGGAACGAACGGCTTAGTGTATGCGGGCGGGGTTCCTGAAGAGAGCGATCCGAGAGATCACACAGCAGCTGGGGCCAACCGGTCCTCGTCGGCGTTGCGGAACGGCCGACACACCTAATCTACATACAGCTCAGACAGCAAGCAACGACCAGCGTGATTGGCGACAACCTGGGAGCCCAAGCCTATCATGGTCGCCCTAACCACCCCCTTCCGCCATCTTCGACCACAGCCAAGCCAAACCATCACGACAAAAACAAACATCTCCCACACGCACAAGACTAGCCGCGCGGCCTGGGCGGGAGTTCTCTCTCTCTCACCAGCAATCCCTTGAGGACGGCGGGGTGGCGGCCATCGCCCAGGGGTCTCAGGACAGGGGAGGAGGGCACAGACTTGGCCGCGTCTGCAGCCACCAGTTGGAACACAACCTGGAAGTGACGGGGTGGACTGGAGTTAGTTAGTGCCAAAGATGTCGTGGTCGATAAAAACAGAACGGGAAGCACGCGGTCGCAACCAAACATCAGGAGGCTGGCTGCACGACGGTCAACACGGACGACGTATTTGGGGCCGCCGCACCCAAGCATCACTAGAGCGAAATTCTTCACAACGCCACCACATCTGGACGACCTACCGCAAGGCGGTACAACAAACAAAAACACACAACAACTGCATCAAAACAACAGCAACAACTGGCGACTACATCAACAACAACAACAACAACATCAATATCAATATCAACAACAACAACTGCATCAAAACAACAGCAACAACTGGCGACTACATTAACCCAGTCGAAGGGACCAGCGGCGCCCGGAACACCGCCTCGCTAAAAAAAAGCGCCGCAAGACGAACACAACAACTCAGCCTCTTTCACATCTTCCGTCCACTCAACGTTACTCCTAGATCCAAAAAAAGTCTCGCCACAGCTCCGAGCGATGAGAGGGAGGCGGGGGGGGGGGGGGGGGGGGGGGGGGGACCCTAAAAAACCTTTTGGGGGGGCCCCCCCCCCCCCAAGGGAAGGGAAAAAGGGGGCCCCCCCCCCCCGGGGGGGG